TTCTAGTTACTCCATGTCCTTGCCTCTTCATATTGTCAGTCTCTTTATTTTTAGCCATCTGAGGGATGCGTAGTGTATCCCTTTGTGGGTATTAACTCTCATTTCCCTGATGACTATGAGAATGAATTCCCTTCCAAATGTTTGTTAGCCATCATATAAACTCTTTTGTGACGTGCCTGTTCAAGTCTGTCTCCTTTCCATTTTTCTGTTGGATTATCTGCCCTGCTTATTAATTTGTATAAGCTTGCATATAAATCCTAGTTATAGGCCCTCTGCCAGTTATATTAGACATGTTGCAAATTTCTTCTTCCAGTCACTGGCTTATGTTTTCACTTTCTTAATGGTGTCTTTTTATAAGCAGAAGGTATTACGTTTAATGTGGTTTAATGTATCAAACTTTTTCTTTATAGCTATTGCTCTTTGTCTTCTGTTTTAGGAATCTTCTCCCCAGCGTCATGGAAATAGTCTCCTGTATTACCTTCTAATTGGTTTTCCTTTCATGTTGAGATCTACAGTTGACTTGTAACAGATTTCTTTGTGTGTGATGTGAGTACAAGCCAGATTTTCTTTTCTTTTTTTTCTCTCCTCTTTCTTCCTTTTGTACTTTCATTCTTTTTTTGTGTGTGGAGATTTCTACTTGACCCAGCTGAGAGGGTTTCTTCCGCACTGTTCCTCAGTGCCAACTTTGTCACAGATGACGTGTGCATAAATGTGTGGGTCTGTTTGTAGACTCTCTAATCATTTTCTTTGGTGCATTTATACACCCTTGTGCGAATGCCTTTAGACATTAAGGAATAATGTCTTTATTTCTTCAATTTTTAAGTACTTCATTCTGTTTTTCTTCTTTAAGATTGTCTTGGCTATTCTTGGCCTTTCCATTTTCATATTAATTTTTTGAAAAGCTTATCAATTTCCGTGGGAGAACTTGTTGAGATTTTGATTTTGATTGCATTAAATCTATAGCTCAATTTGAGGAGCTGAACTGTATATTTTTTATGTAATATGCTTATGTATTATATAAATGTAACATGATGCAATAATATAATATATATAAATATAATATTTATATATGATATATAATATAATTAATATAATATAAATATTTACATATATTTATATATGATATAATATTTATATTTAAGTACAAATAAATATATATACCTAAGTATAATTAAAATACTTACATAAAAATAATATAATGTAAACTGTGTCTTGATTCCTTATGCTTTTGCACTTATTTATTCTGTCTAGGCTCCTCTCCCTCTAGTTCTTTTTTTGTTTTTGTTTGTTTGTTTGAGGAAGATTAGCCCTGAGCTAACATCTGCTGCCAATCCTCCTCTTTTCACTGAGGAAGACTGGCCCTGAGCTAACATCCATGCCCATCTTCCTCTACTTTATATGTGGGACGCCTACCATAGCATGGCTTGACAAGCGGTGCCATGTCTGCACCCAGGATCCAAACCGGCGAACCCCAGGCCACCGAAGCGGAATGTGCACACTTAACCGCTGTGCCACCAGGCCAGCCTCTCCCTCTAGTTCTTTATTTTTTACTTCTTCAAACCCACTTGAAGTATCATCGCCTCCTTCCCTAACACTGTTTCTCCCTGTGTTTCTGAGATAGTTCTTAAGCATCCTGAGTGGGGCCTGGTCCTGGAATCTTAGCCCCTGCTTCTCTTTTGCCCCAGGGTTATGACCATTAGTATTTGTGAAAAAGTGGACAGTCAAATGAGGAACTATGTATCAGCTTTATCCAACCCTTTCTGATAATGAGTCTAAATTGAAAACTATTATGGAACTCCTACCTCCACCTCAGATTGAAGGTGGCAGGCTATCAAATGGAGAGGGTATGCTACCTTCAGGCTAAGCAGACTGTGCCCATGTGGGCATATGCATGCAACTGGCAGCTTGAAGCCTCCAGGAAGGCAGAGTTAGGAAAGCAAAACATAATCGCAGGCAGCTGCATGTGACTTTATAGCAGTAGTCTCCAAATTTTTTTGATTGCATAATCTTACCAGTAAAAAACATATGAGCATCTATCACCAATGTTTATATATTTATTTATACATTACATAAATGCACTGCAATTTACTTTATAAATTCTACAATATACAAAATTAAAAATGATAAGCAGTATTTCTAAAGATGATTTTTAATTGTTTTACTTATTAGTGGTACAAAATTCAATAAGCATCACTATTTTTGAAAAGCGCAATTTAATACTTTGTGATGTAGTGGTTTGAAGGTCTGGTTAAGAAATATGTATTTAGAAATATTTGCTAGTTTACATAGTAGTGACAGCCATTTATCATCACAGAAGAGATTACCAAATTTGGAACATTTGTCTTTTTGTGAAACCCAAGTGCATGATGTATCTTTATTTTTGCTAACTTTTTAAAATGCTTTGCCATGAATTTTTTTTTTTTTTTTGTGAGGAAGATTGACCCTGAGCTAACATCTGTTGCCAAGCTCTCATATTTTTGCTTGAGGAAGATTGTCCCTGAGCTATCATCTGTGCCAATCCTCCTCTATTTTATGTGGGATGCCGCCACAGCATGGCTTGATGAGTGGTGCTAGGTCCGTGCCCGAGATCTGAACTTGCGAACCCTGGGCCACCGAAGCTGGAGCACGTGAACTTAACCACTACACCACTGGGCTGGTCCCTTTGCCATGACATTTTTTATGCTCAGTCCTCATCTATTTTCTAAGCAGACTAAATATTCTACCACCTAGGGTAAAGTAATTTGGTCAGTCCACTTAGCTGGCAAATGAAATACCCTGAAAGCCTGCAGGCACTGATACAAGCCCTTTGAGTGTGAAACTCACACTTTCCTCAGAATATTTGTCTGAGGGTGCAAAAGAGTCACTGTTCCTGAGCTTGGGAGGGAAAAGGATGATTAAAAAAAATCCTTTTGAGAGTTAATAATTCCATGTACCTGTAGCTTGCACAATGAATGGCAAGGTCTGAGCAGCCGAAGAAGTTATTCTTTTTCCCCTGTGGAAGATCTGGTTTGGGCTCTCTAGTATCTAGTATAGAGAAAGAGGAAACACAAAATTCTCTCTTCTGAGCAGTTGTTTTTCTTACAGTGCAACCATAATTGTTTTCTCATCTGTCCATCTTCAACACTAGTCTGAAGCTTGCTGAGGGAGGAACACTTTGAGCTGGGATCGGCCCAGCCAGGTGCATACTTGTGCCAGCATATGAGTAAATGTTAATGTTGTCAGGATGGGGAGGTTTCCATTAGTGCTGGGAAGTAGGGATGGCCTAGGAAAAGCTTAAGTATGTGGGCTAGTGGGTCTTCAGAGAAAACTGTGGGATGGAGGAGAGTGGGTCAAAAAAGTCATCAGGGAAGATGTACAGAACCATATGAGTGAATGTACAGGCTTTTTAATAGAAGTGCCACGAGGGACGTCTGTTCCAGGCCAAAAGTGACAAAGATGAAAGGCATAGTGCAATTAACTGAGATCAAAGTTCTCTGCAGGTGAGGAGAAATTCTAGATGGTGTCAGAAGGCTTTATGAGACTAGTCTTTAGAACTTTTGTTCAAGGTTCTAGAATAATTTTGGCAAAGAGTTGTTCTGCTCATGTTGCTGCCATTGAAGAGAGCTCTGCTCAGATGAGGAAGGAAAAGTAAAAAGGTAGTAAAAGGAAGAGGGGGCAGTATTTTTACCAGGTTGTTAAGGATAACTTAAGCATCAGTATTCTAAAGGAGTTTTTTCCCGATTATTTTGTATTTATTGAAATGCACATTCAAAGTAGACTTCCATAATGAGGTTATCAAAACATTGGAAAGCATGAGCTTGCACATTAAATATGCATATAATGTACCAAAGTTTGATATTTTTGTGACATTACAGTAATTGTGACTCAGTCACCTTAAACTACATTAAATCATGTATATAAAACACATTAAACCGTTCAAATGCAATGATAACAAAATGACCCAAGATACATAAAACAAATTTTTTCATTACAACTGAAGTATTTGTTATATACTTTAAAACAAAATTTTCAACATAACTAAAGATTTATTATATACTTTAAGAATTGAACAAGTAATTCTTGAAAGGCACATAGCAATGAAGATTCCTGGGAAGTTAATTCTTATAAATAAGACCATGTCAATTCAAGTTCAGAAAAGGTTGTGGATAAATATAATTCTCCTTTCAGGCTAGATTTTTAATAGGCAGTTTTCCCCTATTTCCCACACCTCTTCCCTCCAGTCCCCTCCTCTCCTTTTCTCTTTACTTTACTATTAAAATCTGTATTACAGCATCTTGGGGGCCGGTCCAGTGGCATAGTCGTTAAGTTCACACGCTCTGCTTCGGTAGCCTGGGGTTCGCAGGTTCAGATCCTGGGCACAGACCTACCCACCACTCATCAGGCCACTCTGTGGCAGCATCCCACATACAAAATAGAGGAAGATTGGCCCAGTTGTTAGCTCAGGGACAATCTTCCTCACACACACACACACACAAAAAGTCTTATAATTTTTAAAGACTAACCGTTGTGTATAGTGACCAGAGCCCTTAAAACAAAATTAAATACTAACCCACAAGTATCAGTCAGTGAAGTTACTCTGGAGGAAAGCACACAGCTAAAAACCAAAAGCCATCTGTTCATGGCTCCATTCTAGTGTACCTGCTGTTCCAAAGGGTTAAATTCCACTTCCTTTGGTGGCTGATAACTGAAGGATCACTGCCGTGTGTGGGATACGGTACCTCGTCCACGTCAGGGTAAGTCTGCGACCTGGTCATGGTGGTCGCTTTTAGTTAGCAAGGAGAGCTTGTCGTTCATGCTACTACGCACTTCTCTCCTCTCTCATGATTTCCTTGGTTATTTTATATTTAATTGTGTACATTTTGTTTCTCTGCTAAATTATTGATAAACTTATTGGGGGTATGGATGAGTTTTCTAGTCATATTAATATCCCACTGCCTAGAATAATACCTTAATCTTACTAGATACTCATAAAATATTATCTTAATTTATTTACATTGTAGATGCTGAGAAAAACGCTTAAAGGGTCTGAAAGTAAAGAAGTGGAAGTAACACCTGAGGCACCGACAACTTTAGTGCCGTTTGGGGATGTGGTATGTATGACTAATCCTCAGTAAACCTGTGCAGATTTCTCCTTATTTCATACGAAGACTGGTCAGTGTTTGTTATTTGGTAATCAATAAGTTCGTGTAGAAAATGGTCCTCTCTGATAACATATTCATGAATGTTTCATTTTTATGAGTCATAAAAGCATTCTAATAATCACCAAAATTATGGGAAACATCTTGACTCACACATACAAAATGTTTTCTATACTAGGGATTCCCAAGCTCTAGTTACATCAGAATCACTTGGCATACTTTGTAAAGACATTGATTCTTGGGCCCCGCCTAAGATCTGCTAACTGAGAATCTGAGAATGGGACCCGGAATCAGTATTTGTATTGAGCTCTTCAGGTGATAGTGTTTATTTTTACGTTAAGGAACCTTTGAGCCATAGTGTGAAAATTGACCCCACACCTCTCGCTCATCCAAAAAGTAAGAAAGCTCAGAAACAAAAGCAAACAGACTCATCAGTCACACACCTACACACAAACACACAGGTAGGACCTCATATCTGGGCTGAGAACCAGAAAAACCTGTTTCTTTTGGGTGCTAAGGAGTGTAGGATATGAGGATCTGTGTACATTTAGAACTGTCAGATATCGTGGTATTCTTTTACAGTTCTTGTTTTCTGAACACTATTAGAATAGTTAGGGGGTATAAAATAAGAGTTTCTTTTGTCCTTCTCTAGCTCCTATCATATACTAATACATTTTCTTGATTAAAAAATATACAATGAATTGAACATCACCTTTTTGGGGGGAAAAGTAAGAGTATATTAACGTATAGATTTTTGTTTTTACAAAGTGACTGTGGTGTGTGTTTATCTGTGTAATTATATAACCCTTTCTTTCCTAAATCACGAAGTTGGAGGATAAGCCTCCACTCTCTGAATCTAACCTTAGAAAATGTTCTTTGAGATCAGTTGCTGTAAGCTCCTCTGCATGCCATTATGTTGACATACCAATTTCTGTAATCCATGCTCTTGAATGTGACTTCTACATTTCTTTAGAACTTAGTTTTTGAAGAATATTTTGATTGTACCTATACTTCCTAATTTCATAGTCTGTATTTTCCTTATTTGAATTACATATTGCTAGACATTGAAAAACTTCTCTTAAATGTCCGCTGGAGTGTTTGGCAGAGAGACGTTTGGCATGTGATTGATAGCTCCTCCCAACGCGTGCTTCCATCCCATCACTTTCCCTTTGAAAGCTCTGTGATTTGTTCTGAGATGTTTGGCAAGTTGTGTCCGTATGTAGGCAGTGATGAAGAGCTGCATCACAACCTGCTCCTCCTGTTTCGTGTAGTCGCATCCCATTGTCAGAATGAATGTGAAGAAGCTGTGTCTTAAAATTGGGCGCATCAAGTGCTTTTGTGAATAGCTTTCTGGTTGCTTTTCTGTTTTTAAAGCATGTTTGAGAGTGTTTGGGGGGGGTGAGGTGTTGATGTGGTTATTGCTTTGGGCCACAGATGGGTCTTAGAATCTGTGGCCACATTTGTTCTACCTGGCTTGTGAATGGTCGTCATTATATTTTTGAGTGTTAAATCTTTTTCTATACTTAAATAGAAATTTATTCTCTTTTCTTTGTTATGTGGATCTATTATGTAAAGTATAAGTAGCTATTGAAATAGAAGGGAAGTTAGGGTAGTTGCCCATGGCTTCATGTTGAGATACTTGGCAGGCAGGCAGTGATTTACGACAGTGTGTAGAATTATGCAGTACAGAATTGTAGGTGTGCTTCCCTGTTTTACCCTCCTCACGTACAACCAAGGATTCATGGAATCACCTCTGGCAATGTTGCTTAAAATCCACCTAGATTATGTAATGTGCCTTACTCCCCTTTGAATTTGAAAACGTAGAACCTTTCCTTTAACACAACATTTCATACCTATGTTTCTTTAGGAAGTAGACCACGATATTTTCTTTAGGATTTTATCAGTTAGATACAGTAATCTTTTAATTAAATATTGAATGCTAACCTATTTTTCTGTACTGTTCTAAAACCAAATCTTTAAATTTACTTACATTTAAAAATACTATTGGGCCATTTATTTTGTTTCACAATGTTTAAAGTAATATTGCTTTTGTTTTTACTGGGATTTTAAGACCAAACAAGGCTAAATATATTTGGCTAATACTGCATACTAATATTCAAATGTTCTGTATTCATTTTGTATTCAGTTTTATGGTTAAATATAAGATACAATTTTCTTTAACATTTAGAAACACTTTGTACAAAAGAGAATGAATATTTCACAGCCCTTGGCATATTGTAGTCGATGGATGATTGTTGACTGAAGAAGGTAGTTTTAGGATACTGGATAAGAAGCTTATCTGAAGCAAGGCATATTTCTTATTATATGCAAGGTGCTATATTTTATCAGTTCTTGTTTAATATAAAATAAAAATGATTCAAAGAGTGATGGTTGGATTTAAGTTAATAATGAATACTTCTTTTGCTTTGTGTTCTTGTTCATGTTAAGTTTGCTTTGAACAAACCCTGCCTATTTTTCTTCTGTAGTTCTGCTTTGTGGTGTTTTCCATTAACTAGATCTTTCGAATGAGCAACTGTTTTTAATGAGGAAAACTAACCAAGCGAAACTTTTTTATTTATTTATTTATTTATTTTTTTTTTTATTAAAGATTTTATTTTTTCCTTTTTCTCCCCAAAGCCCCCCGGTACATAGTTGTGTATTCTTCGTTGTGGGTTCCTCTAGTTGTGGCATGTGGGACGCTGCCTCAGCGTGGTCTGATGAGCAGTGCCATGTCCGCGCCCAGGATTCGAACTAACGAAACACTGGGCCGCCTGCAGCAGAGCGCGCGAACTTAACCACTCAGCCACGGGGCCAGCCCCCGAAATGTTTTTTTTTAAATGTAGTTTGGTGTAGAGTAAAATGGAAGAAAATTAACTTTTAAAAATTCGATTCACTATGTTTTTATTTTGATTGTTATAGGTTGGCTGCCTGGCTATTCATGTAAAGAACTGCAGACAGTTTACAACTAAGAGTATCCTTTGTTTTGATTTAAGAACCATGCTATGGTCATATATCACTGTTTCAATTATATAGTGCCGTCAATTGTCTGTGCATTCATTAGGTGATGCTTATGCTTATAATTTCAATATAATTCAGTATAATTTCAATATAATAATAACAATATAATTTCAATTATATTGTTGCCATCATTGTCTGTGCATTCATTAGGTGGTGCTTATGCTTGACATTGTCACAGACTGCAGTTTGGAAGGGCTGGAATATCTAAAATGGCTCCTTTAGGTGTCTGATGCTTTAGTGAGCCTGCATTTGGCTGGGTGCTGAAATGGTGGGAACTTTCTCTCTTTCCATGTAGTCCCACGGTCTTGTCTTTCATCATTTTTTTCCTGCATTAATTTTGATTTTTTAAAAAATATATATATTAAAATATTATTTATCTCGATTACTGAAGTTTTTGGTGTCTCCTTAAATTTTGCACCCTGGCACGTGCCTTTCTCTCTCATCCTAGTCCCAGCCCTGGTCACGTCCACGGCATGTTCATGTCGTCACAGGGCCAGGCAGATTCAAGAGCAGAGAAAGTAAACTCCGCTTTCTGATGAGAGTGACACACAATTTTCAGCCATCTGTAATCCACCTCAATCACCATATAAGTTAAAGGAAAAATACATATCTTCTTGGATGAAAGTACTAATTTATTGCTGAGTAATAACTGTGCTTCTCTTAAACATTGTTGAAAGGATTTATCTATCTTGGCACCTTTAATTAAGCTGAATGCTTATTATTAGATTTAATAAGCATAAAACCAGTCTTATTATGAAGACTTGGCATTTCTTTTTTATATAAAATTAATTATTGAAGAGAATTCTGTATAAAGAGATTTTTGAAGATAATTAGTTAAATCATAAAAACAAAATTGTTTTAATGCATGGAGTACTATGAAAGATAAAAATACAGACCCGTTGAGTAGTATAAGTGAAGAATATAGTGAGGTGAATTAGAGAGTAGAACACTGCTTTAAGTTTTGTTTTCTTAAAATTAAAAATAAATTACTCTCGAGTGACATATTTTTTACGTTTTTGAATTTCTAGATAATTATGCTTAAAAAATTTCAACTATATATTGCAAATGTTTAGTCACCTTGGAAAATAATATATAGAAAAATTTGCAAAGGAATGATAGTGGAAATGTGAGGATAAAAATATGAGACATGATCTAAGGAAGAATTTATCTTCTTTTCCTACTTATATTGTACCTACCATTGGTGGGCAAAATACTATTTTAAAAGACTTTATTGTTTGGTGTGCCCTACACTTACCTTCTTTATTTATTTGATTATTCTTAGCTTTTGGCCTGAATTATTTAATGAATTAATTTTATGATGAGTTATTGTTCAATTATAACAAAATTTGCTTCCTAAATATCTGTTATTTTCAGTTGATATACAACATTACAATAATTTGTTCGTCCGCATCTCTATAAACAATGTTGTGAAATCTACAAAAATGTGTAGCTTTCTACCCCAAAACAATGAAAAGAACACTATAATTAAGTTTAACGAAGTGAAGTATTTTTCTGTACAGGTAAAGTTCTCTTCTGTGTATAGAATGCATTTTTATAGTTTTGAATAGTCTATACTAATTATACCTTTTTTATAGAGGATAGGAAAGAAACAAAAGCAGTGCCTTTTTATTTGATATTTTACATTATTCTATTTCTATATTATGGGCAATATTAGTATTTTTTTAATAAACAGCATGTGCTGTAAAGTGCATGATCTTGGTGGTCTTCTTCCCTGACATCTTACTGTCTGTGGTTCTGAGTGTTCATCACACATGCATTTTCCCTTATCTTTCTCTTGCCCTCCTGCCTACCCTCTTCCATGTTGTCTTAGTCACTTTGGGCTGCTATAACAAATTACCATAGACTGGTGGCTTAAACAACAGACATTTATTTCTCACTTTTCTGGAGGGTGAGGACTTCAAGATCAAGGTGCTTGCAGAGCTGGTGTCTGGTGAGAGTCTACTTCCTGGTTTGTGGATAGCCATCTTCTCAGTATATAGTGACACGGCAGAGAGCAAAGAGAGATCATCTTTCTTGTGTCTCTTCTTATAACCTAATTACCTCCCAAACACTTCACCTACAAATACCATCACGTTGAGGATTTAGGCTTCAACATATGAATTTGAGGGGAGACAAATGCTCAGTCCGTAGCGCACTCTTTTTCATCTCCCCCTCCTTTCCTCTCTCCTTTCTTCTTATATAGACTCTCATTATTTTTGCATGGAGTAACTTACTTAGTCTTTATAAGAACCCCCAAAATATATATACTCTTATTATCATCCTTATCTTCCAGATGAAGAAACAGATGCTGTAAGGTTTAAAGAACTTTCTTAAGGTCATAGAATTACTAAGTGGTGGAACTGGGAATATCGGCAGGCTAGCTTCAGACTACATTTCATCAAACTGCCTCTCACACTAGAGCTTGCTGTGCTAAGAGTTTGCTTCTGTTTACAGTTAAGCTTCTTAGAATCTTAAATGTATCTCGGAGTTTTCTTTAAAATGAGCAACACTATTTCATATAGCTGTAGGATTCAGTGATTAGTCCAGGTGGTTTCTAGTAGTTTATTACAGTGCTTGAATTTCAGTGAAATCCTAAAACATTTCCTTTATGCTCCATTTTTTTTTTTTTTACAAACTTCATTTTGCTTACGTGTTGAATATTGAAGATTGTTCTTTAAGCATAGGGTTGTTTTTTTTTTTTTGAGGAAGTTTAGCCCTGAGCTAACTACTGCCAGTCCTCCTCTTTTTGCTGAGGAAGACTGGCCCTGAGCTCACATCCGTGCCCATCTTCCTCTCCTTTATACGTGGGACGCCTACCACAGCATGGCGTGCCAAGTGGTGCCATGTCTGCACCCGGGGTCCAAACCGGCGAATCCCAGGCTGCTGAGAAGCAGAACGTGCGAACTTAAGCACTGCGCCGCTGGGCCGGCCCCTAAGCACAAGTTTAAAAAAAAAAAAGGCACGGTTTTGCTAAAGGCAGTCCATTACTATTTCTGTTACTCTGCAAATAGTTTTCTCAAGTTTCATTGCTAGGTTTTGAAGAATTTTGTGGATATCTGTCCATTTAAATATAATTTGAAATTAATGCTGGAAAATAATATAAATTAATAAGGTACTTATTTTCATTTGCATAATCAAAATCTTTTTGCAATATTTATTTTAATAGAAATTATTAGTTTTAGCACATTAAGAGGAAGGTTTTAATGGAATTCTAATGGAAAATTAGAGAATGACTTAGTAATAATTACATAAAAAATTGTACCTCCAGGAAAATTAAAAAGTGATATAGGAAAGGAAAGATAATCATTGTAACTATACTGTTGAACTCTGAGAAATAGTTACATATACATAATGTAAACACTAAGTATTGGTCTAACAAAAATGTATGATATATACCATATTGGAAGAATGAGGGGAAGAGAAGTGTGAAAATTTCGCGGCGAGAGTGTTGAGAGCTAATATTTTTCACAATAAGCAGTCAATAGATATTATCGAAAACTAAAAAATCAATAATAATATAAACATGTTACTTAGAAACATGATTTCATGGCAAAAAACAGAGAGATCCCTGAAAAAGGTTGAAAGGTGGCTTCTGAGGAGTGGAAATTAGGAGGTGGGTATTATAGAGGTATGACTGAGTGATGACGTGGAGAAGCTAATGCCATTGAAAGGAGAATTTATTACTCGTATTTCCTGAGAAAAAGGGACACACGACACCACACAGGGCATCTGGGGAAGTACCAGCATGGTCACGAGGCAGAAGACAGAAGTGAAGAAAGAGCTGAGGCCAGATCCTTTCCTTGGGTTTCCTGGAAAAGCAGTGCAGGGCAGAGCTGCCAGTTGAGAACTGGCTAGTCTGAATAATCCTGTAGGCTTTGGGCTGTAAGGCTAGACTGTGGTTGCCTGGTGCCTGGCCCTGGGTTGATTTAGGGCAGGAAAATATTGACTCCATATGAAAGTTAGATAAAGGGGTGGTTAGGGCTATAGATTTGGGATTGGTTAGTTTGCATATGAAGGATGTGCTTCCATCCACCCAAGCCCTTTTCTATCTCTAAGAATTGGCTCAGCTGGGGAGAGGAAGTCTCTCTCTGGCCAGCAAGCTTTTTAAGATGTCAAAGCATCATAAAATACAGGAAAAAGGTTAATACAGGTGGGAGAAAAAAAAGTTCTTTCTTTGTTTTAACCATTGTAGAACTGTTTGACTTTTAAACTACATATTATGTAACTAAGATAAAATACAATTATACTGTGTATACTTTAAGACTTTAGTTTGCTGAAACTTACAAGATAAGTCTAGGTTAAAAATAAAACAAAAACATACAAACCAAAAAATAAAAAGGAATAGTAAGTGGATTTAATCTAGTTTAATTGTTCTGGAAAGCTGTTGAGTAAGTGATGTTAAAACCCATATTGAAAAATGAATAGTAGTGGATTTCTGGTCTAGCCATGCTGGAATAGCTGGTATTGCATTTACTCTTCTGGTCTAAACAACTATAAAACTGAATAATGTATATGAAGGAACTATTTTCTGGTATTTTACAATGGAGATTGGAGTGCTGTAGTCCTTAAGGGAAGCACAAGAGGTGAGCTCTACACTTAGAACAGCTTTCTGTCTGGCAGTGAATCTGGCATAGCGAAGTAGAACCTAAGCAAGGAATGGCAGTCTTGCTTGGTGGAGGAAGCACAGGAAACAGAAGAGAGTTTTGGGCTGCTAATGTGGCTGGAATTTGTAAGGCAGGGTCCTAGAGAGGAGGGAGCAGCAGATAAGGAGCCCCAGAAATCTGTATAGGTATTCACTTAGGTTCTTGGCTGGATCTTAAGGTGTGCATGTGCGAGGTGAGTTTATTCTAGGAGAAATTACAGAGAACAGATGCTAGAATGCTGAGAGCTGAATAGAGGTTTCAGAAATCACGAATTCAGAGTTGTTGGAGTCTGAGGCATTTAAGTAGAGAGACCTTGTTGAACATTCTCAGTATTAAGTTGAGATCCCAGAAAGGCCAAATCATAGGAATGAGGACCCTCTCCTAAGAGTAAGGGTTAAACCTCAGGACCCAGGACAAAACTGTAATTGACCCATCCTCAGACTAAGCTATCATAGGATCAAGATGATCTTCCAGTAATTAATTGCCTTCCAGAAAAGAACTCAATGCTTTTTAGAGAAAGATATAAAAACTGGAGTCTCTACTATGTATCCTTCACAATGCCCATTATACAATAAAAAATTGCTACTCATGGTGAAATAAAAACAGATAATAGAGGTCAACACACAGGTAACTCAAATGTTTGAATTAGCAGATAAGATCTTTATAGTAACTATCTTACATGTGTCAAAGGGGAAAAGGAAGACAAAATGAATGATCAGAATGGAAATTTTGAAGACAACGGAAACTCTGAAAAGAACCAAATGGAAATTCTGGATTTGAAAAATGCAGTATTGAAATGAAGAATTCATTTGAAGTGCTTAAAAGCATTCTGGACAGAGCAAGAAGAAAGGAACTGTGAACTGAAAGACAAGTCAATAGAAATCATTCAAATTGAAGCTCAGAGAGAAAAAAGACCAAAAAATGGAAGAGACCAGTGGGCAGTGTCACTCAATTTCCAGATGTGTAGTTGCATCACAGAAGGAAAGAAGAGAAAGTGTTCAGTGTATTAGTATTGTAGAGTTTTTTCTGCTAAACATTTTCCAAAATTGATGAAAGACATCAATCTATAGATTCAAGAAACTCACTGAACCTCAAATAGAATAAGTACAAAATGATCACACCTAAGTAGATGATAAACTGCTAAAAACCAAAAATAAAGAGTAAGTCTTAAAGGCAGCTGGAGGGAAAACACATTCAGGTGAACAGCAATAAGAGTAACAGCAGACTTCCCATCGTAAACAGTGGAGATCAGGGGACGAGGGGATGCCATCTTTCAAGTGCTAAAAAAGTCAACCTAGATTTCTAAATCCAGTGAGAATATTCTTCAAAAAGATGACAGACAAAATCTGAGAGAATTTGTATCTAGAAGATCTGCATTAAAATAAAAGTCAAAGGAAGATTCAAGTTGGAGAGAAATGATCCCAGTAGAAGCCCAGATGCACAGGAAGGAATGAAGGAGCTTAGGTAATGGTGAATATATGGGTAAAAAAGACTATGTAAAAAATGTTCTACAAAAGACTCTTGACTATTTAAAACAAAATAATGATGATGAATGGTAGAATTTATAGCATATGTAGAAGTGGAATATATGATAAGAATAGCACAAAGGATGAGGAGGTGTAAATGGAATTGTACTATTGTGCATGATATGGTATAATTTTAGTTCAGGACATTCTGTGGTATGTTAAGGTTGCATATTATAATCCCTAGAGCAACCGTGGAAAACAATACAAAAATGTATTACGAAGGAGGAAAGCAGAAGTCGGGGGAGGAGAGGAGGAAGGAAGGAAGACAGGAAAGTGCAAACTTAATTAGCACTGAGTTTGAGAACTTAGAAAATCACAGTAAAACCTTAGGGAAGCACGAAGAAGAAATTA